CGAAACGAAATTCGATCAAAGAGCGAGTGTGTTTATGTGTGCGGGGGGAAAACGGGTGGGCTGAGCGGAAAGCACAAAAATTCCAATGTCAGTTTTATCGAGCACGTGTACATCAGTGATAAGGGCACGCGTTTAATACCTATCGACTGCCGCGACGCGGAAAATATCGAAAATTTCAAAGCTTCTTTTTTTTTTATTTTCTCTCCCTCTTTGTTTCTTTGTACTTACATATCCTTACGGTTATATCTATATCGTGCGTGTGCGTGTGCGCGCGCGCGCATGCATTTATGCACGAAGTGTATCGGAGACGAATGAAAAAATGCGACAGACTTTAGCTAAACTCGGAATAAAAATGTTTTTTTTTTTTTTTTATTTCATTGGCACACTNTATCGAAGAGTAAGACTCGGCTAGCTTTTTTTTCTTTTGCGTTACGTACCTCCATTCCTAAGGAAAAAAAATCTCTGTTTATCTCTCTTTCGCTCTTTTTCATTCTTCCAAAACGCGCTCTCTCTCATTCTCTCATTCTCTCATTCTCTCTCTCTCTCTCTCTCTCTCTCTCTCTCTTTCTTTCCGTTTTCATTAAAATTTGTTTTCTCGCTAACGGAAGATCTTGTGCGAATAATACGTGGTCTTTCCCGTGGTTCTTCGCTTCCGCGCCCGATCTTTGCGCTACAGGTACATGCGAGGAATTTTTGATCGAATTGCGATCGAACCAATACGGAGATCGACGATCAAAAAAGTTCCGTGATTCTCGAAGCGTACATTCTTTCGCGCGCGAACATTTTCCATTTTGTATTTATCTAATTATCTCTTTCATGCGGATATATATAAAAAGTGTATCGTTTCCGACGAATTGACCTGGTTCCTTGGTTGAAACGTGAAAAAAAAAAAGATTGGTGAAGCGATGACACATGATTCGTTCGTGCATCTGAAAATTCTGAGCACGATCTGTTCTGTGTTACCCTGGAAGAGCGCTTGTCGCGCTCGAAAATTATTGAGCTACGAAATTCACTGCGATCATAATTCTTTGATTTTTTTTCCCGTATCGCGTTCGCGGCGATTCGATTTTCGGTCGGGCAGCGCGATAGAAAGAACATCGATGAACAAAAACCCCAGAAACGGCGACCCTCTTCTTCCTTCCCTTCGCTCTTCGCATGGAGATCTCAAAAAAGTATCTAGCTAAATCTTTTTTTTTTTTCCCTTTTTTTTTAGGCTATTATAATACAAAGTAATGTACACTAAAAAAAGGATGATTTTCGCTGTTTCGTAGTCAAATCTCTAGCGTTCGAAATATTTACACGTGTTTATTCTTCTCCTCGCTCATCTTTTTTTCACCTTTATCCTATAATCCACTTGGCGCACTTCTGTTCGTGTTTCGTCGAAGGATCATCGATATCGATCGATTCGTTGACAAAATAACAACGTACCGAGTATCGGTTGTAAGGCGTGCGTACGTAACGTTAATTTCATTTATTTTCTTTTTTTTTTCTTTTTCGTTCTTTCTTTTTTTTTTTTTTTTTTTTTTTTTTNNNACGGAATACCGGTTCACTTTCGATCAAAATGGTTCGTTCGAAAAATTGGCGTTAAAAAAAGTTTGCGGTTGAAAATAGTATGTTACTGAACGCGCGTAAACGGATCGATAATAACTCGTTATCAAATAGGAGTGGAGTGGAGAAGATGGGGTGGATAGTATTTCGGTGAACTTTATTCGTTCGGCGCGGCTCGGG